GTCTCTGCTGCTGCTGCTGCTGCTGCTGTTGCCTCTTCTGCAGCTTCTGCTTCTCCTGCTGCTGCTGTTGCTGCTGATGCTGCATCGGGGGTGTCTGGCCGCCGAGCACCCGTGGAGGAACTCCCAGCAGCAGCAGCTGCAGCAGCAGCAGCAGCAACAGCAGCAGCGAAGCAGCAAATGGAAAAGATAGGGCGTGTGTGGGGCTGCAGCAGCCGCGTAAGGTGCTGCTGCTGCTGCTGCTGTTGCTGCTGCTGCTGCTGCTGTTGTGGGCGCCTCTTTTTACTGTTTTTCGGCTGGGGCAGCAGCAGCAACAGCTGCTGCTGCTGCTGCTGCTGCTGCTGCNGCTGCTGCTGCTGCTGCTGCTGCTGCTGCGCGCTTGTGAGAGCTTGCTGCAGATGGAGACACATAAGCTCGCCCGATAGAGACCCCAAAAGGAGACAGTTTGGTGCTGCTGGGTGCCAGGCAAGAGACAGCCAAAGTCTGCTGCTGTTCTGCTGCTGCAGCCGCTGCTGCTGCTGCTGCTGTTTGCTGCTGCCGTTGCCGCTGCTACATGCCGCAGCCTCTGCTGCAGCCAGACGCATCTGCAGCACCACACCCCCCGAACCACCACCAGCAGCAGCAGCAGCAGCAGCAGCAGGAGACAGCTCCCACAGCAGCAGCTCCTGGCTCCGTGACGCCGACGCCAGGAGCCACCCGTGATCTGCTGCTGCTGCTGCTGCTGCTGCTGCTGCAGCTGCTGCTGCAGCATCAGCTCCCGCATGTAGATCCACCAACGCGTCCTGCCGCTGCTCCCGCTGCTGCTGCTGCTGCTGCTGCTGCTGCTGCTGCAGACAGGGCCGTATGAAGCAGAGACTCGTCACCCTATCGGAGTGCCTCCCCAGGCTGCGCAGCACTTGCTGCTGCAGCACATCTATCAGCAGCAGGGCCCCCCCTTCGTAGCCAACAGCAGCAAGAAGACTGCAGCAATAGTTTACTTCACTGTTGTTACTGCTGCTGCTGCTGCTGCTGCTGCTGCTGTTGCTGCTGCTGCTGCTGTTGCTGCTGCTGCTGGGCTCGCGAATCTCGCCGGGCTCCTCCTCGTCGTCCGTCTCCTGCTGCTGCACTGTCTCTGCAGCAGCAGTGCATTTGCTGCTATCATGTGCTGCGTCTGCTGCTGCTGCTGCTGCTGCNGCACTGTCTCTGCAGCAGCAGTGCATTTGCTGCTATCATGTGCTGCGTCTGCTGCTGCTGCTGCTGCTGCAGCAGCAGCAGCAACAGCAGCAGCACGGCAATGCCAAGGCGCGCGTACAGCGCAGCAGCTACCTGCGTTGCCGCCTCCGCTGCTGCTGCTGCAGCAGCTGCTGCTGCTGCAGGAGCTGCTGCTGCTGCTGCAGCATTTGCCTCTGACTGAGAGCAAGGCTATCTCCACAACCTTCTGCTGCAGCGGCTGCATTTGTGCTGCTGCATGCGCTTTGGGTTTTGCTGCTGCTGCTGCTGCTGCTGCTGCCCCGCTGTAAAAGGAGACAGTCCCCTCCTGCATCCAGAAGACAAGCTTACCCCTTGCATCCCCACTGGCACACACCAGCCACAAACCACTCTCTGCTGCTGCTGCTGCTGCTGCTCCTGTTGGTGTTCCTGCTGCTGCTGCTGCTGCTGCTGCTGCTGCACCAGGCAGCAAACAACCACCGCAGACAGCCAGGGCCTCTGGCTCTCCTGCGTGCTGTCGGTGCATCGATACTGCAGCAGCACGAGGCATCTCTCCGCTAACACGACGTTGCTGCTGCTGTTGCTGCTGCTGCTGCTGCTGTTGCTGCTGCTGCTGCTGCTGCGGGTCGAGCTGCAGCAAGTTCAGGGTCTGCTGCTGCAGCCGCCACAGCCGCACAGTGCGATCAGCATGGGCGGTGAAGAAGAGATGAGAGAGACACTCAAACCCTAAACAAACATGCATGCCCACCAGCCTGCTGCTGCTGCTGCTGCTGTTGCTGCTGCTGGTGTTGTTGCTGCTGCTGCTGGAGCTGCAGGTGGCGGTGGTGTTGGTCGGGGAAAGAGCAGTACCGGTAGCTGCTCCTGTTGCTGCAGCAGCAGGTACTGCTGCTGCTGCTGCTGTTGCTGCATCTGCTGCTGTTGCTGCTGCTGCTGCTGCTGCTGCTGCTGCTGTAAGGGCCCAGGAGACAGCCAGGGGCTTCGCCTTCGTCCCGCAGTCTAAGAGGGAGAGGGGGGCCCCCCGCTGCAGCTGCAGCAGCAGCAGCAGCGACTTGGTAACGAGGAGACAGTCTCCAGTCAGAGCGTTGCTGCTGCTGCTGCTGCTGCTGTGCCAGCGCGTTGATGCAGGGAGCACACATTGAAGGGCCCCTGCGCAGGAGACTATCTCCTGCTGCTGCTGCTGCTGCTGCTGCTGTTGCTGCTGCTGCTGCTGTTGTTGTTGTTGCTGTTGCAACCCCACTTGCTGCTGTGCATCGTCCTGCTGCTGCTGCCGCAGAATCCGCCGCAGCAACTCCTGCTGCTCCCGCAGCAGCAACAGCTCAGGGTCTTCTTCATCTTGCTGCTCCTGCTGCTGCTGCTGCTGCTGCTGCTGCTGCTGCTGCCTTCGCTCCGCATGCAGCCCCATCACCAACAAGCCCCCCGAAATACCCTCTATTTCACAGCAGATCTAAACCGGGGGGCCCCCCAAGGGCCCCTGTGTGGCCTCGTACAGCCGCAAGCTGCTGGTGCTGCTGCTGCTCCTGCTGCTCCTGTTGCTGCTGCTGCAGCCCAGGAGCAGCAGCAGCAGAAATGCAACAGAAAAAAAAGTAAGAGTAATTAAACAACATTAAAATTGCATGCAGCAGCAGTGGTTCCAGTGAA